GAAATTATTTCTTACATGATTCATATGGATTAATTCTTCCTATTGATTCTCTATTTTAATTACATGTTGTCTTATGTGTGATTATTTGGAAATTGATCTCTATACTATATTCTCTATGTTGGTCGTATGTCTATGTGTGATTAATTAAGGATTTAGTGATGGTTAAGTATGGGTTTTCATTGAATGGGTTTGTCAATTAATTTGATGGATTATTCTTATGCTTGATGAGTTATTCTACAATTTAATTCATGCTTGTAGGTAGGTAGACAATCTGTACTTGGTTTGATATTCCATGGCTTATTATTGCAAATTCCATGATTCTCTAGATTGATGTGTTCTACAATTGTGACTAGTTTGATGGGTCATGCTTAGATTTGATGGGTTGTTCTACACTTAGTTTATTTGTTGGTTAGGTAGACAATTCATACATGAATTTGATGGTTCATACTTAATATTGCAATTGGTAGTCGCATTTTGTTCACAACAATGTATTCCCCATTAATAGAAAGCAAGTGGTTAATTATATGAGCTTAGTGGTGATTCCAATACCCTAAGATCTTTCTTCATATCTCTTAAATCCTTATCTCAACTTAGTTTACTTTAATTGCATTTTAATTTCCTTGCATCTTAGTTTAATCAACCAATCTCTATCTTTTGCAATCAATTGATACATTAAAGTTGAAGTTAAATTCCAACACGTATAATCTCTATGGACGATCCCTACTCACTATACTTCATTAATTGTAGTAGTGGTTTTTATAAATGTAAATTTGACTAGAAAAGTTTCCAAAACCACATTCATATTTTAACCTTGCGAAGCGACCTCTCGCATTAAAAAGTCCATTTTCTAAACACTTGGAAAAGGGCTCATCAGTATATAGCACATGGTAGCTTACCTACCCTTTGCCCCAAAACAACACCCATTGCGAAGTCAAAAGCATCACACATAATCTCAAATGGTAAGGACCAATTTGGAGGTTGCATGATGGGAGCGGATGATAGAAGAGTGCGAAGTTGATGAAAAGTATTTAGGCATGCTTTATCAAAGACAAATGGAGTCTCCTTTGCAAGAAGGTTGCACAAGGGTCTAGCAATTTTGCTAAAGTCTTTGATGAATCGGCGATAAAAACCGGCATGTCCTAGAAATGAGCGGGTTTCTCTCACTGTAGTAGTTGGAGACAATTCGGAAATCAGCTCAACTTTCGTTTTTATCTATTTCTAGTCCTCTTTTGAAAATGACATATCCAAGCACGATTCCTTCTTGAACCATGAAATGGCTATTTTCCCAACTTAACACAAGATTAGTCTCACAACATCTTTGAAGTACTTTTTTGAGATTTTGGAGACACGAATCAAATGAGGACCCAAAAACCGAGAAGTCATCCATGAAGACTTCTAAATACTTCTCCACCATGTCCGAAAGAATTGACATCATACACCTTTGGAAAGTGGCAGGAGCATTGCACAATCCAAAAGGCATCCGTCGATAAGCAAATGTACCAAAAGCACATGTGAATGTGGTCTTTTCTTGATCCAATGGATCTAGGGCCACTTGATTGTACCCTGAGTAACCATTTAGGAAGCAATAATATTGTTGCCCTGCCAATCTTTCCAAGATTTGGTCAATGAAAGGCAATGGAAAATGGTCTTTCCTAGTGGTAGAATTCAGTTTTCGGTAATTTATGCAAACACGCCATGAAGTGGCGGTGCGTTTCGAAATAAGATCACCCTTAGCATTTTCAACAACTGTGATTCCTGACTTTTCGGGAACCACTTGAGTTGGACTAACCCACTTGGAATCAGAGGTACGATAAATGATTCCCGCATCTAGAAGTTTCACAACCTCCTTCATGACAACTTCCTTCATATTTGGGTTCAATCTTCTTTGAATATCCCTAAATGGCCTTTCATCCTCTTCCATGTTTATGCGATGCATATAAATAGAAGGGTCAATGCCTTTTAGGTCATCCACACTCCATCCAATGGCTTCTTTGTTAACTTTAAGTACTTCTAAAAGATCATTCTCTTGGTTATTTTTAAGATTTGAAGCAATGATGACCGAAAGAGTCTCTTTTAGGCCTAAGAAGGCGTATTTGAGATTGGATGGAAAAGGCTTAAGCTCAAGAGTAGGAAAAGAGATGAGAGAAAGAACTGGTGGAGTACTAGAGAGTGAAGGAAGAGGTTCTTTCTTACTTTTCCAAGGTGGGAAATCCAAAGTGGCCACAGAGTCCATCAAAGCATTCACCTCACTTATGGATCCTTCTATGTCAAAACCACAACTTTTAAACATTCCACAAAGCCACATCTCAAGAGGGTCCTTAGATAGAATAGAGGGGAGAGTTCCTCTATAATTTCATCCAAAACATCCACTAAGAAATACTCGTCTTCATCTTTGGGATGTTGACTCGCATTGAAAATATTAAACTTAACCATTATGCTGCCAAAAGAGATGTCCATAATGCCAGATCTACAATTAATGGTGGCATTGGTAGTGAAAGAAATGGTCTTCCTAAGATGACTGGAATGTGATTGGTAAGATTAGGGACTGGTTTAGTACCTAGTACCACAAAATCAACTGGGAAAAAAAAATTTATCGACCTTAATTAGAATGTCCTCAACAATTCCCCTTGGTTTCTTAATTGATCTGTCGGCTAATTGGATTACTACCGATGTTGGATTTAAGTCCCCTAATCCTAATTGTAAGTAAATAGAGTATGGAATGAGATTGATACTTGCACCTAAATCAAAGAGAGCTCTACGAATCTCTTGGTTTCCAATAATATAAGAAATGGTTGGAGCACCCGGATCCTTGAACTTAGGAGGAGTGTTAGACAGAATGATGGAACTCACTTATTCTATTAAAAGCACTTTCTTAAGGTCCTTTCCCTTGCTCTTCCTTTTTTGAGTGCACAAGTTCTTCAAGAACTTTGCATATGGTGGAATTTGCCTAATTGCATCTAGAAGAGGAAGATTGATTTTCACTTATTTAAACACTTCCATCATATCATGAATTTTTCCTTTTTGTCTCCCAAATGATGAAGTCTCTCTCAAAGCTTGAGGAAATAGAGCTTTTGGCTCATAAGGCTTCTCTAATTGGGGAGATGATGATGAAGATGATGGAATGTCTTTTTTGGAACCACTAGCATCCAAGGGAGTAAAAATAGAATTTTAAATGGGATGGATGCAACCACTTGGTTATATCAATTCACTATCCTCTTTAGATACCTTTACCTTATTGTCCACTTTCCTACCACTCTTCAAGATAGTAATTGCTTGAACTTGCTCATTTCCAAAAAATCCTGATGAAGGACTTGTTTGTGCTATAAATTGCCCCTTAGGATTGGTCTTAGTTTGACTGGGCAACTTACCTTTCTCTCTCACATTTAAAGAATTAGCTAATTGCCCGATTTGAGCTTCAAGCTTTGCAATTGATTGAGAGTGACAATGAAACAATTGATTATCTTTTCGAATATCACCTAAAGCTTCCAAGACCTTGTCTTCAAAAGCAGGACTCTTAGGAGGTACTTGATTTGGATTAGAGTAAGATTGAGAATGTGATGTTTGAGGATGAGAATAGGATTGAGAATTTGATGCTTAAGGATAAGAATATTGATTCACATTTTGAGGATAGAATGAAGGACGGTAACCTTGAGAATTCTAATTTTGGAGATGTGGAAGAACATACTTTGCTTGGTAACCTTGAGTTTGAGGAGGGTTTGCACCATCTCCATGATTTTTCATGCAAAGTTTGGATAATTCTTCCACCCCAGATTGTAAGTATTATAATAAGGGTTATTCCCTTGATGAGGGTTTGCACCATCTCCTTGATTTTGCTTGTTCTTGAGACTTACTTCGGATGATTTATCCAAGAGGACAATTTGAAGTATGGTGAGTGTAATTAGAACAAGTCATGCACATTTCATTGGAATGGTGAAGATAAGATTGAATTGCTGGACCTTGATGCAAAAGGAATTTATCAAAATTTTTAATAAGATTTTTGACCTCCGTAACAATTTCCATGGAAGAGTCTATTTGATTTAGAGCTTTCTTTCCTCCCACATTTGCTAGGTGACCACCCCTAGAAGATGAAGATCTATGCATTGAGTTTTCACTCATTTTTTCGAAAAGATGCCAAATTTCATCTTCATTTCTTTCTATGTAGCTTCTGCCATAGGAAGCATCAATAATGCCCTTATTAGCATCAGATAAACTTGAAAAGAAATATTGAATTAATTGCCACCTAAGAATGTCATGATGCGGACACTTCCGTAACAAGTCATTCAAACGTTCCTATGCTTCATGAAGGGGTTCTCCTTCTTCTTATTTAAATTCACGAATGGAAGTTCTCATGGCATCGGTTCGACTCGCGGGATAGTACTTTTTTAGGAATTCTTGTTACAATTGTGCCCAAGAGGTGATTGTATTTGACCGCAAGTTGTTAAACCAATATTTAGCTTTATCCTGAAGAGTGAAAGGGAAAAGCTTCATTTTAAGGACTTCACTACAAGAAAAGTGGTTATTAACTACGTGCTTTTTACCACGGGCCCATATAGCCCGTAGTAAATGTCACTTTATACCACGGGCCAAAAAAAACCATAGTTGAAAGGCATTGAAAGTCACTTTATACTAGGGCCCACGTAATCCGTGGTAAAAGACACTTTCTACCACGGGCTATATGGGCCCGTAGTAAAAAGGGAACTTTTTACCACATGTTAGACATGTGACAGAAAGTTATATATCTACTACTCGCTAAGCCCTTTGTAAAATGTGAAATTTTTTTTCCAAATATATTTTATATTTTTTCTACATTTGTTTTGAAATATTCATCACCCCTTCCAAAAATTTATAACTAGCGGGAAACCTTCGCGCCTTGTATATAATTTTTTTAAATGAAAATATAATTAAAAATACTCTTTTAGGACTGTAACTTCAAAAAAAATAAAAAATAAAAAATAAAAAATTGACTTAGTTTAATTTTTTTATATATATCAAGTATAGACTGTATCATATAACTTGAGGAACCAAAAGCTTCCTTTTCTGATCAAGCCCTAGTTTTCTCTCATTGGTATTGGATGTGTTAGGTTGTGCCGAAATCCCACTCCTCCGCCGCCGATTCTCCTTGTCCTTCTTTCTTGTATGCAGGCCGTCTTTTTTCCAAGGAATCTGTTCCACCCGGTTACCAAGCTGGGGATCAATCCCAACTATCTGCAGCCGAGCACGTCAACAAGAAAATGACTAAAATCTGCTCAGTTTCCACAGACGCTCAAATAGACGAATAACTCTGGCATCCCGGAAGCTTATAGCGCAAAGGCAAACCTTCTTGTCAGCCCGTCGCCATAGTCGTTGTCTCCATCGATCCCCTTCATCCCAAGGATTCCTCTTCTCCCCAGGTACCCCTCTCTCTCGCTTTCTCTCTCTCTATATATATACATATCTATATATCCTATAAAATTGTATTCAATTTTGATTTTTTATATACATTTTAATCTAATTTACAAAAATATTACCTTTCTTACTCCATACACAAAATACAATACCTTTTTAGTAGAAGAAAATTCCTCTCAACAAAGACTCTTGGTGACTCTATTGGATAATTCTATTTGATAGGTAACTAACTCTTGTTGAAAAATAAGATAGGTAACTGACTCTTGTTGCTTCTATTTTCACTTTCTTTACATCAAGCCTTATTTCTAAGTTGGGTTTTCATCTTTTGAATCATGCCCTAGTTCTTATTTTTGATTGTGTAAATATTACTGTATTATTTAGATGCACACTGCAATCTTCCCTTATTCATACTACTTCATAGATAGGAGCGCCAATTCATTAGGTAAGAAGTCATCACTCTATTTTTATTTTTTAATTTTTGGGTGTGTGTCTCTTCATCTTATATTTCTTTATAAATTGTATGATGCCTTATTGAAGCGGAGTGACAGCACCGAGAGTTCTTATTTTATATATGTATATATATTTCCTTTCTTTCTTATTTTTCCCCGAAGAGTTCTTATTTTAAATAAATTTTAAATTTTAATTTAAATCAATCTTACACTCTAAATTCTGGATTTCTTTATAAAAATATCAACTTTAATTATATACCATGAAAAAAATAGTAACTTCCTGCAACAGAGTCTGTTATTCCGTTGGCTAGTGAATAAGAATGAAATTGATATTGCAGTGTCCAATTCAGTTTTAACTCAATAATGCCAGTCACTATATTTATGTTGACATTGCCTGTTGAAGAGAATGCAAGACTGAGTTATATAGGCATGTCACTTTTAAAGTTTGTGATTTCTCACCTGAAATATATATATATATAATTCAATCAGTGTACATGGTTAATTAAATCGGCCTAGAGGTATGTTGTACTTAAGGCACCACCTAGAGGTTCACATGATGTAGAGGCTTTTGAAGAGAATGATGATGTGCGTTATCCTCCTTTAGATGTATCAGGACTTGACTCAGTTATCCATGATGACGATCATCCATATGTACGAGATAATTGTGACGGCATAATAGTGTAAAATTTAGAAAATTTAGGGTTGCAATATTTGGTGTGTTTTTATTTTATTTTATTTTTATGGCCCTTATTTTGTTTGTAATCTGGTCTTAAACATTAGCAAAATATGATTTTCATTGCCGGAGATTGTCAAATTCATTATTATTGCTTTTACCTTTATAGTGACATGATTATTGACTTGCCTCCTATTATTTTGTTGTTGTATGCACGTGTTTGATATTGCAGATTTTCGAGCTTGTGCACAAATAGTTTCATTATGTCTGGACTTATTGGGGTAAGCATGGATGCATTCAGTTAATGTTGTTATTATAATTTCTTTAGTGTTTATGTTTAAGTGTCACCCGATTTTAATTTCTTGTTTTCTTTTATTAATGTGCATGTATTTGAAATGAAGTCATCCAAAAGGGCTAAAAAAAGCCAAGCAATTGAACGTCAAGCGATTGAGGCTTCACTAGAGCGTACACCTTCAGGACTATGCATTTTTTATGGGGATTCAAACTCTTCACAAACACCTACTTCTCAAGTCCCTAACAATGAGAACCGAGCAACAGGCGGTACTAGAAAAAGAGGTAGGGGGGAGTCTACATTAGCTGGTATTATAGGTTCAAAAGATAAGAAGCCTCGTGTGGAGTTTGACGAGTTTGGGGAGACAATTGGGGATGTTGGGACAAAGTACAGTTCAACCCTTCCAATATTAGCACGTGGGATGGTGCCCATAACAATTGAAAAATGGAACCAACTGCCAGAAACTTTGCTAAAAGAGCTATGGGATGCCGTTCAGGTTTATTTCTTAATTTTTACTTTATAAAGTGCCACAAACTACTTTATTAGACAGTCAATTTTTGTTCATTTAAGGACAAGATTTCTGCTTAATTTTAAATAAGCAAAAATTACTCTTTTTAAAAGGCAGATTTCTGCTCAGTTTAAAGAGCTTTTTATGAAGTTATTTATAATGGGCAAAAATAGCTTTTTTAAATGACTAGAAACACCTCTTTAAATGAGCAGAAACAGAAATAAAATTTAGAAAAATAGTTTAGCAAAGTGCCACTCTTTAAGTTTCAAGTTATGGCTTGTTCTTTATATTTCTGTCATATTATTGCAGTTACTATTTGATGTTGACAATAGTGCGTCCTATGATGCATTTAAAAAGATGGGAAATGTCTGGTGCTCCAAAAAGTCCGAACTAACAAAAAAGGTGCTGGAGGTGAGAAATAATCCACGAAAAATACAACTCCTGAAGCCCGGAAATGTACCCACAATGGAGGAGTGGTTAAGATTTGTTTAGCAACGTTTATCAGAAGATCATGCTGTGAGTATATACATCGAATTATATTGTCCTTTTTACCTCTTTCTTTTCTTAATTTTTTTCATGATGTATTTGAATTAACTAAACTTTTGTATTTACAGAAGGTTAGACAGCAGATGCAAGAATTGTAGGCTAAGAATACAACCCCACACAAAATGAGCCGAAAAGGCTATGCTGGAACGGAGAGAGAATTGGTAATGTCGAAGCTTTTAATGTTTTTTTTCGTCACTGTTTAAGTTCACAATATGCTCAAAACTATAATAAAGAGAGATGATATCTACATTGATGAAGTATTATATATATATATATATATATATATATATATATTTTTTTATGTTCTTATGCAGAAAGAAAATTCGAACACGCCCGACACCATTTCAAGAGTAGACGTGTGGATTAAAGGGCACACAAGGAAGAATGGAACTTATTTAAATGACGGTCAAGGAGAAAGTGGTAACAAATGTCTCTTTTTTAATTCAAATAGTTGATCAATTATATATTTATTAACCTAAATAACGTGTTTTACAAATATTGTTGTTACAGGAAAGAATGCGAGAATTTACCGAGACTACTGAGAGTTCAGAAATTACAAATGATGCACTCACAGCAATACTTGGTGATTCACATCGAGGAAGAGTGAGAGGGTATGGGTTTGGAGTAACAGTGACAAAATTAAAATTCCAGAATGGTGCTTCCAGAAAATATGAGAAGACGATTGATGAAATGCAACAAAAATTGCAAAGGCAAGAGCAAAGGCAAGAGGAAATGCTAAAACAAATGCAAGTGTTTCAATCCATGTTTGTAAGTAATTTCTATAAATTTGATGCAATCTCTCTCATTAAAAATGATAATGTTTAATCAGGAAATCGTTATTTACTCTTTTTTTTCTTTTCAATATTGTGGTAGGCACATATTGCTAACAACCAGTCTTTTCCCAATGCTCCACCTCAAGTCTCACCTACAACAAATATGGCCAGGAAGAGGTATGAGTTATTGCATTATAATGGAAGAGGATCATTTGTTGTTGAGGGTGAAGTTTTTGAAACAAATCCTGATGAATTCCTAGGTCATGCTACTCTTGGTTTCGATTGTTGGCAAGTGTCGATCAATGAAGTCTTTGATAACGATTTATCCTTGTATAGGGCTCAGCCTCCGTATAAGGATTTAAAAGTTGTTATTGGATATAAAACTGCATGGCCTATCAAGTTTATCAAATTTGTAAGTTTCGTAGAAACATGTTAGCTATTATAAAGGAAATATTTGATATGCTTTGATTTCTTTCTCAAATGTTTTTCATTTAAGTATGTCTTTTTTTTTTCCTAATATGTGCAGGAAATTTGGAGCAGACCATACTAGTGCAGTGGACTGGTGGGCCCTTTATATCTTGCTTTTGGTAAATTGACATTTCAAGTTCTTCTCCCCTTTGTCATATATTTTTTTATTTTGAAATAATAGATTTTCTTGCATAAATGAGTTTTTTTTGATGTGGGAGAGCCTTTTCAATCCTAAACCCTCTTTCCCTTTAGTAGAGCATACCACACTCCGGGCATGAGTTTTTTTTATGACTATCTCTAGATCCCTAAAGTAAATCTCTAACCTTCTTCTCAATCAAGGCATCAATAAAATGTAGTAGAGTAAACATTGAACACCAATAATAGGAGTCAGAATAAATGATAGTAGGGTTGCACACGGTTTGGTTCGGTATGGAACCTGTCACAACGGTTCCTTAAAAATGGAACCGGAATCAAAATCATGTGTATATGCATGGAACCGAACTGAACCAGTCTTTTATTCTCGTAGTTCTTGCCCAAACCACCATTATAAACCTAAATCACACTTCATGAAGTTGGCACATCTCAGTTGGTTTAATTGTTGTCCATTTAATAATGTATATTGTTATTTATGTTCAACAAGTTCTATTGATAGGATAAGTCATTAAGTTGTATGATTTAAAAAAAAATGTTTTCTATTGTGGTTGAGAAGTTGCAAACATGCACTTTACTTTGTGGTTCTATTTGAATATATGAGTTGCACATTTGTTATTTTCTAAGAGGTTACTTTTTTATGTGATAGGGAAAAATGTAATGGCTGGATTTAGTTTCTTTCTACGCCTTGACAGTGAATGAAGATGGTTTGACAAGCTTGGCGGTGCTACTTCTTTTTGCAATATTTTGTTAGCATTTGGTTTTTTTTTTTTAGCAATGATGGAGACTTTGTACTCCAAATCATTCAATGAATGTTTTGGATTAATTATTGGCGATTGTTGTTTTTTTTTTTTAACAATGATGGAAACTTTGTACTTCAAATTATTTAATGAATGTTTAGGATGAATTTTTGGTGATAGTTGTATATATATGCCTCTGGTTGCAATTTGGTTGTGTATGTGGAGTAGGATATGAGTAATATATGTTGTTGGATGACAGGTTATCAATTTAATATATATATATATGGACACACACACACACACTTTATACCACAAGCTTAATGTGAGGCAGAACGTATCACATTAATTCTACCACGGGCTTAAACTATGGTAGTATAAATATTTTATACTATATTCAACTACGAGCACAGACTGTAGTAATAAAATGACTTTTTTACATTCAAATGAAGTTTTTACAAGGGGCAATAACCGGATCATAACTGTGGTAAAAAATGACTTTCTACTACGGGCAATACCTTGGGTTATGTCCGCGGTATAAAATGAACTTTCTACTATGGGCAATACCCAGGCCAAGCCTGTAGTATAAAAGGTACTTTCTACTACGAGTCATGTCCGTAGTATAAAAAACACTTTCTACTACGGGCAGGGCCCCGTAGTAGAAATCATCCAGAAAAGACTACGGGAGAAACTACTACGGGCGAAAACCGTGGTGTAATACTTTTTTGCTCGTATTAAAAGGCCATTTTTCTTGTAGTGCTTCTTCCGATACATCCGTGATTTTCACAGTGGAACAGATTTCCAAGAACTCATCTAAATGTTTATAAGACTCTTTATTGCTCAACCCATAGAAAATGGGGCAAATGTTAATGGTGGAAGCCTTAATCTCATAATGATGAGCACGAAAATTTGGCAATTGAATGCAAGTGGGTGCATTATATTGATTTGGAGTGTAACGATCCCTAAGGACCATTGGAGGATTGAGAGGATTGAGAAGAGGCTATGGCATTTGACCTTGCTGATGATATGCCATTTGACCTTGTTGAGGGTATGCCATTTGAACATATTGTTGTTGTTGCTCACCAATTGGGGGAACAACATTTGGCCTTGGCATCCCTAGATTAGGTTGTTGCACCACAGGATTAACTGGTCGTGGCATTCCCAAGGGTGGATGAACACCTTAAGGATTCACAATATGAACTTGTGGTGGGTGGTGCACACCGTTATGATCCACATGTCCAAGATCTACAATGGGATCTTCAATTGGATCTATTAGGTCTTCCATTAAAGGTGATGGAAGATCAAAATTTGGAAGATTAGGATGACTATCCCTAGTACTACCTTTTAAATGCCGAAGAGAAACTTTGAGATTTTGATTTATAGAAGCAAGAGGACAATTAAGTGATCTACGACCATGCATGCACTACAATAAGTCAATACACCAACACTTCAATTTTTCAACCTCCACATACGATGTTCCCAAACTCCTCAATAATATCAATGCACTTAAAACAATTAAATGCCTCTACAAGGGCCAATGCCTTCTACAAGAAGGTATACTTGGACTTAGAAATAAAACAATTCAATTTAAGCCTCTAATTGGGCTGTCCAAAGCATGCAAGGCAGTAAACAATTAAGCACAAAAATTAAAGAGAAACTTACAAATGGTCCTTAAATACCTTTAAAAAAATTTTAATTGCTTCTAAGTCCAGTGTTTGCTCCACTTTGTTTCAAGTACCTAATTAACAAATCAATTGAGAAAATAAAAATTAAAATGACTTAAAAGTAGACAATCAACAAAGAACTAATGTCTAATTCAATTCTTTAAAACCGTTAGATCTCCGACAACGGCGCCAAAATTATGATGCGACCGAGCGTGTGCACAAAATAATGTACATCACTTTAGGTTTAGAAATAATGTCAAGTGGGCATCATATTTTATAATTTATAAAACCACTAAACACTTATACTATGAAATACGAAGCGAATAGGGATCGTCCCAAGAGATCTAAACAATTATTGGTTTTCGGAATTGAATTCTACTTTAGTGCTTTTGTGATTGCTAAAAAGGGTTTTGTTTGTGATGAAAACTAATTTTAAACTAAATGATTACAATAAAGAAATAAAGTTTAAGAGATTGGAAAGAGACTTAAGGTGTAGGATTCACCACTAAGCACATTCCTTAACTCACTAACTTTCAACTAATTGGAAAAATAATACTATGTAATCTATATGTGGCTAACAATTGCAATGAAAAGTGTAAACTATCAATTTCAAGCATGAATCAACTACCTAATGACAATTAAACTAATTGTAGTGCAATTCACCAATTCAAAGCATGATTCATCAATTCAAGTTACAAATTTAACACACATTAATCTAGAGGATATGTAATTGTAATAATAATTATGGATTTGAAATAATTGTATGGATTGTCTAACTGCCTAATAATTAAATTGCAATTAACTAATTTACCTTAAATTAAACTAACCAAACCTGAAATTAACCTATTTAAACTAGACATTAACCTAATTGTGTAGTACAACCCATCTAATATAAGCAATTTTTATCAAATTAGAACACAATTACATCAAATTAATACAATGCATAGCCATCACATGATTCAATTCACAAAGAAATCAAGTGTAAAGATCAATTATCATTCAAAAACATATAAGACAATATGAGATTGACAAGATAATCATTTGAAAGAATTATTATATATATATATATATATATATATCAAGGCTATAACAAAAATTACATAAATTAAATCCCCAAAATAGGAAAAGTGAGAAAAGTTAGGTTACATGCTTAGGGTTTATCCAACCCTAAGTTGAAGAATTAGCCGCTCATGGTTGATGGATGCAAGATGTCAACAAGCCCCATCCTTCGATTCATCTGGCTCCTCTTCTTCTTCTCTGAACTTTTCTCAAGAACCTTAGCTTTCCTCCTTTTTGTGTTTTCCAGAGAGAATATCGATATATCGATTACAGAAAATAAAAACTTAATCATAAAATAGTAAAAACTCTCCCAAACTAATGGGTATTGGTTTTCTTAAGTATAAGCCTTATTGGAGACCAATAAGTTACAAAATAAGCCCAAAACAAGAAAATCTCGTAGCCAAGTAAACATAAATCCCGCAATGCTGCCAGGGGATGGGGGATCGATCCCCCAGCCTTGGGGATCGATCCCCTAGGGGCATTTTTAGTTCTGTGAATAGTGGGGGATCGATCCGTTGGAAACTTCCTTCAAGCCTTATTTAGCTCCATATTGGCCCCGGGCTAATCCGTTTGATTCTTGATCTTTGGGAACATCATCAAAGGCCCGAAAAAGGTAGAATTGACCGTTTTTGATGGCTGTGGCCTCTTTTTGTCATTTTCTGAACTTTTTCCAACTGTCATTGCTTGACTCCAAAAAGGCTTTAGTGAACCAAAATTAGTCCGTTTGAACCTTATTGACCTGAAATTAACAAAAACATAAATTAGAACTAAAATATGAAAGTAAGATAGATACAAAGACTAAAATACCCAAGCGTAGGTGCTGTTTTAATGTGCAACATTTAAGAACTTATCACCGCCCATCTGTAATGGCAAACACCAGTCTCGGTGATCTCCTGCAGATGAAATGGGTAGTGTTGATCCCGAAGGAGCTGTGTAATCAAATGAGTGTAAGGGAGGAATTTGGACCTCTGCGGGTCACTCTTACTGATGAAATCATCATGCCACTTCATCATGACACTCCAGAGGAGCGTTAGAATTGAAAACCAATGCCCTGTATCAATGGTATATAAAGTTGCTAGAAAATTAGCCCGCCGCTGGGTCTTGTGCCTAGCCATATATACATTTTAGTACTAGACCGAATCAAAGAACCACATGCAGTCGGCCAGGTAGGTCCGAGTGGCATAAGCATCGGTGGCAGTGGTGGTGCCATGGAGAGCTATGGCCATCTCTGCATATACTGGCCTCTGTAAAGTCGGGTAGTCAATCCCCGGAGGACATGTATGTGGGCACTGAGATGCTGTCGATAGTGTCTTGACAGTGATGCGGATAAGGTGCCCATCAATAGTGGTGCGCCCCTTTGCTAGGTTACTCAGACTCAACCTGAGGTTCTGGTAGAAAAGCCGAACCAATCTCGAGTAGACCGAGTTGGTTACTGGGGCCAAAATAGGAGACAGGCGGCTACAGTAGATCTCGTCGTACAACCACTTGGTCGTGGATGCCTGTGAAAAACATCCTCATCTATAATAAACTTATGCGCCACTAAAAAGCGCACAAACTTCTGAGCAACCTTGTCTTGGACAATAGCTGGTTGTGTCGGCGGTGTCATGGGAGCAGGTGATGGAGGTAGCTCGGGCTCACTCTCTGAAGAAGAAGAAGAAGAGTACTCAGAATTGGCCTAAGACGGCTCCTCAGTCTGGGGCCTCACCCGGCGATCATAAGTCCAGTTGGCAGTGCTCTTAAAGCTAGGCATGGCCTGCAAAAAGAAAGACACTTGCAATTGTTGTTAGTAACAGGAAATGGTATATGAGATACAGAAATGAAAGCACGAAAGATAGAAACATGCTTGTCAGATTAAGATAGACAACACAATTCTGAAAGGATGCAAATATCACAGTATAGAAACACATGTATCTATCTATGCAAATGGTAATGTAAGCCAAATATACGCAGTGAACGAACAAAGGGTATACTCTGATTCATCAAGTATTGTGAAACATGCTTGACATGACAAGTAAAGAATGCAACCAACATGGAAAACACAGGCATTGGGCATAGATGTGATAACATGGAACATAAGAGAGAGTACAAGAGTATCAATATGCAAGACAGTGAAGTTCGAATGATCATAGAAAAATGTGATCGATCCACGTTGGATCGATCATGACATATATTGGATCGATCGTGCTCTAATCGATCAGCCCACTGGTGTGATCGATCGAACCTGCTGAAAGTTGAAAAGTCACCCGTTCGTGACGTGGAAGACATGAGGCGAATCCCAATTGTCACTTGAAGGCTCGTGACCCCCTATACATCTCAACAAAGCACAAGTGGTCACTTGGAACGGCATGTGACCCCCGAACCAAATTCAGAAACAAAAATGATATATACAAATATATACACATGCTCACAATCTAAAAATGAAAACAAAATCAACTTGAAAATATTCGAATCTAAGTGTAGCAACA